GTAGTTCCTTTTTGTGGTTTATATTCGGAATCCCTATAAGGTAATCCCAAAAAAGAACTACTTAGGGGCCTATGGGTAGGTTGTCGGGTTGAAGATTTAAGAATTTAAGGCTGTGTTAAGTTGTTTCAGGGGTACTTTTGGGTTATCTGCAGGGTACGCGGCTATCCCATATCTCACAAGCTGGCTTTGCTGGGATCCCCCTTCTAGCCCCCCCTTCTACCCCAGACTAGGATACTGATTCTTAAGTGCTTTTCGGGGCCCTTCGTTTCACTGCAACCCGTTCACTGCAACCCTGCCGAGACACACAGGTGCATCTGCCCAGCGAATGCGTCTTGTATGATCTTCGGGCAGCGGTTCGGGGCTGGGGGGAAGCTTCAGAATCCTGAACCCCTCAGAGCCCCCCACTGCGGTTGATGATAGAAGTATCCTGCATTACCCATAATAAGGCATATACCATAATTCCCATAGTTTAGGGTCCTTAAGGTGATGCTAAGGATTTATATCATCAACAGTGTATGAAACCCTACCGGTTACCGCCGTCGTCGCTTCACGGATTGTGTAAAGGCTTCGCTTCACAGGCAACACCTTCAGTCATCAGATTTGTCAGTTTTGATCCTCTTCATTCATCCACATCATCAGCATCACCACCACCTTCATCATCTTCTCATCCTCCTCATCATCATCATGGCCATAACTGATCCTGACCGTCATCGTTACGATCAACAACATAATCATCCTCATCTTCATCTCATCACACCCACCAGCATCATGAACATCGAAGCCAGGGACAATGCACACTATTTTTCAGTGGAGCTCCTTAGCTGCCTTAGCTTTAGTTTGAATGAACCCCCAAATCCAGACTGATGATCGTGAAAAAGCATCGCGCATGCAGAGGGAAACCACGGCCCAGAGCAAACCCTAAACCCTAAACCCTAAAGCCCTAAACCCTAAACCCTACCTCCATACCTACGCCTCGACTCTTCAGGCTAAGTTGAGATTGGTGCTCTTTTTTATTTTATTTTTTTTTTGGGGGGGTTTTAGGTTTAGGGTTTAGGGTTTAGGGGGGGGGGGTCGGGTGGTGGGGTGTCTCAATCGTTGGAACAAGTTGCTCGGGTAGGGGTACGGCTGCTGACCATTCAGGCACCTATGGCTCACTTGAGACCCAAGAAACCTTGGCAACAAAACAATAAAAACCCCATCAGCCTTGGAGGCTCTAAATTTAAAGGAAACTGCAGGTGGGGAGTTCAGGGTATATAGGGCTTCTATAAGGCTTCGATAAGGTATATAGACCTTCTATAGGGCTCCTATAATACTATAACGGCAACTGCCCACCTGAAAATGTCCTAGATAAATCCCTAAACCCTAAACCCTGAACCCCTGAACCCTAAACCCTAAACCCTATACCCTAAACCCTAAAACCCTAGACCCTAAACCATGGGAATATCCGAGAACCCCAAGCGAGTCCCATCTCGAGGCTTTTGAACGACTCGCCTGGCGCAGCTCAAGTCTTTTTTGACTTGCGCTTGCAACAAAAATCAGGGGTTTAGGGTTTAGGGGTTTAGGGTTTTAAGGTAGTCAAGATCATGAAAGGCTTAGGGTTCAGGGTTTGGATCAACATCATTAAGGGTCTGGGGTTTAGGATTTAGGGTTCAGGGTTTGGTAATGAATAATCAACATCATTAACGGTCTGGGGCTTAGGGTTTGATATTGAATATTCATGATCATGTAGGGTCTAGGGTTTAGGGTTTAGACATGAATAGTCAAGGTCATTGGTTACCATTACCAGGGCGAGAAGACCTTTTGGGTTTTTGGGGCCAGGAACCCCTAAACCCTGAACCCTAAAAGGCCCTAAACCCTAGGACTTACTACAGGAAGTAGGCGCCAGGAGGTGAGAAGTTCTTGATGCCCCCTCCGGTCGGCATGACCATGATTTCCCGATCCGGCAGCTTTGGCGGCGGAACGGGATCTGGCCACCAGGGATCACCTGTGTTGCTGTGGAGGCATGTACTTCAAGTCGCGATGATAAGGACATGAAAAAGTATATACGCACATAAACATATATATATATATGTGTATATATATATATACTGAGAGAGAGAGAGAGAGAGAGTAATTACTTGCCACGGCTTCCTGCTTATGGCCACCTATAAAGAGTGCATGAACAATGGCCCAGTCACCATTGGGCTTAAGCAGCTCCTTCGGCAACTTCGTGTTCGTGCTGCGCAGATTGAAATCATGAAGGATGTCTTCCATTTCCTGGGAGCAGACAAATACTGCGGCCTGCACCCTAAACCCTTAGCCCTAAACCCCTAAATCCCCAAACTCTAAACCCTAAACCCTTGAACCCTTCAGAACTAAACTGCACGCTTCTCCTTCCGATGTTGGTCCATTTGCTCAAAGGCCTTCTCTGCTCTGTCTTGCTGATCATGCAAGTCCTTGAGGGGTCGGGGAACTTCGTAGAACCCTTCAAAGGGTGCTATAAGGGTTTAGGGTTTAGGGTTTTCTGTAAGGGTTCAGTAGTTGTTCAGTAGCCTTATAAGCCCGCTCAGGGTCCCTGTACATGGGTAGTTCTCTAAATTAGGGTCTGTTTTTGGGTCTCCAATATAGTACGGCACCCGTATAAACAGAACCCGTCAATGCTTAGTGTAGAGAACTATCCCTATAGTACCCTTATAGAGAAACCCTCATAGATCCGTTTAAAGGACCCTAAAACTAAAAAAGGACCTTATTTCGGAGAACTACCCTAAACCCTAAACCCCTAAATCCCTAAATCACTAAATCCCTAAAGCCCTAAACACCCAAATCCCTTAACCTTTAAATCCCTAAATCCCTATAAACCTCTAAATCCTCTAAAGCCCTAAACCCCTAAATCCCTAAATCCCCCTTTTGTACAAAATACCGATAGAAACTCTTCTAGAACCCTTAACAGGACCTTGAAAGGGACCTTAATTCGGAGAACTAAACCCCTATAAACCTCTAAATCCCCTAAATCCCTAAATCTCAACGCCCACCGACCCTCCCCGTCCTCTCGAGCCTCATGGAGGCTGTTTAAGGTGATGCCGTCGAAGATCTCCTCTGCCTCTTTGTCCTAGAAAGGAAGGCTTTAGGGCTTTAGGGCTTTAGGGTTTAGGGTTTAGGAATTTAGGGCTTAGGGCTTAGGGTTTAGGGTCTTAGGGGTTTAGGGTTTAGGGCTTTAGGGTTGAGGGTTAAGCCTTGCTTATTCTTACGGCTGCTACCCTAAACCCCTAACCCCAAAACCCGAAAACCTCGACCAAGGGAAGTAGTCGAAAGATCCCCACATGTTCACCGAAACTCCTTCTCTTCGAGGTAATCGAAAGTCTCCAGAGAAGGTTCTCCTTCTTCGACCATCTTCCTGGGCTGCAGGAAACCTACAGGTGGGGAGTTTAGGGTTTAGGGGTTTAGGGGTTTAGGGCTTAGGGCTTAGGGTTTAGGGTTTAGGGGTTTGGGGTTTAGGGCTTTCTTCACTAAGTTAAAGGGAACTGCAGGTGGGGGATTTTAGGGTACATAGGGCTTCTATAAGGCTTCTACCTGAAAATGTCCTAGACTGGGCGTGCTAAATGGGAAGGCAGGGTGTGCACTCGGTATCCCTGTAGTATGGTAACTGAAACGTCAAAACGTTGTTCCACACCCTCCAAGCCTTAACCCTGGAGCCCCAAACCCTAAACTTTACCCCAAAGCCTACTTGTAAGCCCTAGACCCAACAACTCTGAAAGCCTAAACGCTAAAGCAAGCCAGTTTCTTGCCCCTGGCGCGAATGGAGCGCGCCAGGAGAACTTCCGGTGGGTCGCCTCCACCTTTCCTTGGGTTTGCGGTTTAGGGTCTAGGGTCTGGGCCTGAGGGTGGGGGGGCTTAGGGTTGTGGGCCTGGGGCTTAGGGTTCAGTGTAGGCTTGGCGCTTCAGGGTTCAAGGTTTAGCTCAGCATCTCACATTCAGGTTTAGGAACTTTCCTCTTGGCATGTGGTAAAAGAACTTGCTGGGGGGGGGGGGTTTCCTTGGGCGTTACATGGGTTTAGGCCTACTTACCATACTTATTGCAGCTTAAGTTATCATGGTTCTCATTTAGATAGCTCCATAATATACCAGCGCAACAATTGGAATAGGGTTAGGCAATACCAAGGAGCCCTCTGGAATAATGAGCAAGTATTCAGATCCCTATACTAAATCATCAGAAAGGACACAACCCCTAAAACTCCCTAAACCCCTAAATCCCGAACTCTAAAATCCCAGCCCCTAAATTACCCTAAACACAAATTTCGTATAACAAGGACCCACTCCAGACTCCGTTTGGAATCCTACTACCTGACCCTTTGTCGGGTCGCCCTGTTAGACCCATATTTACAGAACCCTACAGTAGTTGGAAACCGTTTCATATACCTCGCCAATAAGCTAGGGAAATAAAAGGTTAAACTTTCAGATTACTACGAAATTATAAGGCCCCAAAGAGTTTAAAGGCTGGGTATTGGGGGACTGGGTATATCAAGGACCCAGCCTCTGTCCCGCCTGCTCGAGGAGGGAGTTTACACTCTGCGTCATGGCGTTCACCACGTCCCAATCCTAAGGTTGTGTTTAGGGTTTAGGGTTTAGGGTTTACCCATAGGCCCCTAAGTAGTTCCTTTTTGGGATTACGTTACAGGATTCTAGATATAAGCCACAAAAAGGAACTACTTAGGGGCCTGTGGGTAACAGCCCTAAGGGTCCTAAGCACCTGTATGGGGGGATGCTTACCCAAGCCATAATCACAGTTCTATGTGTAATTCCTAGGTACGATTCTACTATGTAGGTACTTAGGACTTAGGACCCTGTGTGTAGGTAATCGGGTTATAGGGTTTAGGGGGGTTCGGATCAGGGGTTGCTTGTGTTTTTTTGTTCTATTTGTTTTTTTGGGGGGGGGCTTGGGACTTAGGGCTGTTCTTGCAGGTCCCACACAAAATCAACGAACGAAGGCTGCAAACGTTGGTTGTAAGTAGTATCCTATTTAAAATTGACAATCAAGTTCTAGAGCGGCCGAGAGTCAACAGTCGCTTGTCGATAGCCGGCTGCCTCGCCAGCTTTGGTCGTGGCTTCGTCAGCATATTGAGTCGCCTCCCCGGTCGCCTTCTGCGCTTTGTTACTCGCGACATCCGCAAGGGCACCGTACCAGCCGGCCTCTGTGGCAATCGCCTTGGCTCTGGCAGCGGGCTGGCTCTGAAAATACGGCGAGATCGGCGGTGGCAAGAGAGTCGGCGTCTCTGGCGGGGGCACCCAGGCCTCTCCGACGGGTTCAGGCCCGGGAGTGCCGAAAAGGAAGCCTTTCGCTGCTCCCAGAAGGGCACCCTTCATGGCTCCGACGTTGGGGGCGCGCGGTGCAGGAAGGGTTCAAGGGAGACAGAGAGCTCCCAGAATTTGGCTTTTGCTTGTATGTGATGTCTCAAAGAGAGGAGAAGTCCCAGGGCACGTTACAGTGCAAAAAACGAGAACACCCACATGAAGACAGAGGCTTTCCGAGGCTGGCGGTGTTAGACTCGTGTGTTTAGAATTTTCAATCTTACCCACTCGACGCTGCGGAAAGCTCGTGTTTTTTGGCACAAACGGGCCGCAGGGTATAGAGTCTAGATGTGGCAGCCTTGATTCTCCCACTGCTGAGGCTTCATGGAAAATGTAACCCCACATAGACCCAAACAAACAACGCGATCAAGAACCTAAACCCTAAACCCTTTGGGCGTATGCTGTCATGAGGAATTCCTTCAACAACCCTGCGGTTTATGCCACGAAAATGGGGTCAAAACCTCATTCTCAAAGTTCGCAGTCAAGAACCCTCCACGACCTGTGACCCTTTTGCAGGCCAGTTTCCATGTATTAATACAAACAAGAAAAGAGCACGGGCGAATACCACCTCAGCCCCAGCTTAGACCCCCCCCTACCCTTTTTGATTCCGTTTTTCTGGATAGAACATGATCCCTTATTAGATACTTCCCAGGGAAACCCCGGTTGAAGGGGCGATTGTGAGGCTTACGCCAGCAGGAGCACCATAACAGCTGCTCTACTATCTGGGAGACCATAATGCTCATAAGCAAAAACAAAACTGTCGTCCTAGAGCAGAAATTTGGCTTACAAGGTACTAAGTGAGTATGGGGACACAAAGGAACCTATATAGCTAATTATTCAGACAGCTGTGGTATGTGAACTGCTGAGGTTGCGAACACAGTGAAAACTTGAGGTATGCGAGTTGCTAGTTGCCCAGAGTTCAGTATTCTTGACAATTCAGGAATCGACATTACAGCGATACCTTAATCGAAGGGTCTTCGGCTTCCTTACTACACGAATGCTCGGCTGCTAATGACACTGCTATGCCATGTACCCATTCCAGCACGTACTTCGGCATGAAGGGGCAACGTAGGTACTGAAGCACATACTACATGCTACATTCTGTGACATACTTGGAGAAGCTTTGCAACTACCGTGGGCCAATTGCCCACTACTGCACAGACTGGCAGGAGACGGCATGACACAGGTGCTTGCGAACGGCCACCTGCACAAATGTCTGTCTTGCGGACTCTCGGTGCGAGGCTGGTCATAGTGATGACGAAGAGTAGAGACATCTCGAAACAGAAAAAACGTGATGGTGATGGTGATGGTGATGATGATGACGACGATGATGATGATGACGCTGTTGATGATGCTGATAATACTGTTGATTTGTTGATGGTGATGAAGATGACGGTGCTGATGTTGATGTAGATGCCGAGGACGATGATGGTGATCATCATCATGAGGCTGATGGTGCTGACGACGATAGTGATGCTGCTGCCGATGACGACAAACCAGGTGCTGACGATAACGACCACTCAATATTGCTGTGGGGAGTGAGCATGAAACAGAGACCCATGATGTATATTATATCATACAGAAATAGATATACATGCATATACAGACCATGATCAGTCTGCTTCTTGGGGGTGTCAACACAGGGGCCTGGATGATCAACAAGGTTTTTTGTGAGGGTTATATTAACAACTATAAGGGGACACTCTCACTAATCATTCCGACCTTGATATTAAACCGTTCGGCCGGCCTGTTCCATATATATGAAGGTCAGCAGGGAGACGTGCAGAAAGATCAGCAGCAGATGGTACGTCACCTTCGGCGCAGGTATTTTCGGTTAAGGGATTTAGGGAGTATGTTACGGGGACAACTGCGGGGTCGCGACATGTCAGACCGCAAAATTTTCAAAGAGCAGACTGCCGCGAGGTTCATTCGCACAGGATAAAGGGCGTTCGGCTCGGGGGAAAATACCTGAAATCCTCCACATCGACTCACCAGCACGACTTAAAGGCTCATAGGACTTGTAAGTATGAGGTATATGTACAATGCACTCTCACTGGGGTTGTTTCACTTGTATGCCTACTCATATGAATTTCGGTGAGCCCCCAAATCCGTTTGCCAACTGCCTCAAAGAACCTTTGAAACCCTCCAAGGCCCGAATCCACGCACCATGGTGAATGCAAGTGGAGCTTAAGGCTTAGACGGGTTTCGGGTCCCCGCGACATGAACTACGCAAGGTGCATGCAGGACCACAAGGGAACTACAACGCCTCCCAAAGGCCATCTATTAAGCGGTTTAGAGTTTACCCATAGGCTCCATAATAGTTCCTTTTTGTGGTTCATATTTAGGATCCTATAAGGCAACCCCAAAACGGGACTACTTCAGGGTTCAGAGTTTAGGGCTTTGGGGTTGGCACCAACGTTGAGTTTCCAAAAAGCAAAACGGCAAGGCCCTTGCTGAGCATGCTTGGGTATGAAAGGGCCTCTTTGGGTGACCCGGCGACACTCAAGTAAGTCAGACACCCAGATACACCCAAAACAAGACCCTTGGAATGAGGGGCACCGGAAGAAGGGACCGCGAATTTTCTGACCCGCTTCATGTAAATCTTGATAAACCCTTACAGCGGTTCACTTGTCTCAAAGACTCATCGCCCTGTAGAATGCCCTGGAAAGACCAACCAAAACCCTAAACCCTACATCCTAAACCCAACACCCTAAATCCTCAAACCTTCTGTTGATGATATAAATCCTGCATTACCTTAAGGACCCTAAACTATGGGAATTGTGGTATATTCCTTATTATGGGTAATGCAGGATTTATATCATCCAGCGTTTTATTGGGAAACCGCAGGCTATGAATCGCTGAGACTGTAACTTTGGAAGTCTTCGCTTGAAAGGGCTTAGGGTTTTACCTGGCGATCCAAATGCCTACTGTTTTGGGTTTAAGGTTTAGGGTTTACGGCATAAATACTGTGTAAGCTAGGGATCAAAACCTTCTGGTTGATTATTTGGTAGGGTTTTGGGGGTTGTACCCAAGAATAGTATAGA